AAGAGACAGGCGTTGGATTGGCTCGGCCTGCCTGTCCGTCGGTAGAGTTCGAGCTGTGATTGGCTGAGGCGCGCGTCCTAGGGGTGGGGGCTGCATCGAGGGGCGACTTCCCCTCGTAGGGGATGTGCCCCCCCCACATAGGGCCCCGCTGGGTGGGAGCGGCCCGGCCGCGGAGCAGGGACAACCCCCGCCCTCAGCAAGGCCTGTCCGGGGGGCACAAGGATCCCCTCACACACACACATCCCCATCGGGCCCGGCCGGGGGGGGGCAGGGACGCCCACCCACCCGCACCCCTCCGTGGGGAAAAAACCTGAGCTTGGTCTGGTGCTGTGTCACGGGGGAGAACTGCTCTCGGACGGCCCCCAAGGCTTCCCGAGATTTGCTGGATGTGGTGGCATTCGCAGCAAAGTAACAAACCCCACGCTTCTGGCAAGGCGGTGTGCTGAGGCCGGAGAGCATCATACTGCTTTTGAGAATGGAGTCGGGGCTGAGAGTGTTTGGTGTGAGTTTATTTCCACCTGGACAAGCATTTCCCCAGGTTATACAGTGGGACTTCTGCTGTGGAAGGTTTGTTCTTTGTCCAGGAATGGCTGGAGCCTTAAGATGCAGATTATCATCAGGCTGCCAGTGCGTGAGGGCCTGCCAGGAGTGCTGCCCTATTGAAACTGGTAAAATTGATTTTGTGGCACTCTGGGTGAATTAAGAAATTTATGATAGATTTATAAAACCTTGAAAGAATGCTCATGCAACCCAGATCTCAGAAGAGATAATCTCTTTGGAAGTGTTAAAGCCCTCAAAGAGTAGAGAATAGATTTGTCACCATGCTGCATCCATCCTGAATTCAATAGTGTGAGGAGTGTAGTCGTTGTGCCTTTCCATGTTTAATAATTGATTTATTTTCCTCCTCAAGAAGAGGACCCCTTTCTTGCTACTGTTTTAATTGACAAAATTAGTTTGTGACTGTGAGAGATGGGAGTCACTTGTCTCCCTCGTCTGAACAGGACTTGACAGTGACAGCAGACAGATGCAAAACGTTTTCTGAAATGTATGTGTATCTGACCAGTGTAACTACAAGAGCACCATAAATTTAGACATAAATAGAAAACAGCATGTTGTTCAAGTTGAAAAAGTAAATTTTGGTAGCTGCAAAAGGTCAACACCCAGTTGTCCATTTCTCATTTACTAGGCAGAATATTTTAATCTATCCTGGTTTAAGAAACCTTCTGACTTACATTATTAAAGATCAAAATCTGGCTGAGATGGGCTAAGATTTCAGATACCAAAAAACGTCTCAAGGCTTCCCTGACTTCACCTGTCTGTTGCCAGAAAGAAAGCCTTGTTAAATTGTGCGGCAGACTTTCAGGCTGCTGCCAGTGTGCTGTCTAGACAAACATGTGCCAGGAAGCATGATGTGACTGTCTTGTTCATCAGGTGGACTCTCACTACTGCCCCAGCTGCCTGGAAAACATGCCTTCAGCTGAAGCCAAGCTGAAAAAGAATAGGTAAGGTTGCTTTGACTTTTTTCATTAAGAGTCTGTATTTTATACAGCTCCTTCTTTAATCAACACCTGACAGTATTTATATGAAACTCTCTTCAAAAATTACATCCCTTCTTGTTACCTTTTAGTCTGTTTTGGGGAATAAGTGTCTTCCCATAATGTAGCTTGTGTATTTTAGGCTTTATGACCCTCTCATAATACAAAGGGTTTTTCAGTATCACATAGTATTTCTCACTGTTGCCATTCTTATGTTAACTCCTGTTCTCACTGATGGCTGTGTCACCCTTTTTCCTAATGCTGTTGCATAAGATAAAAGTCTGTTGGTTTAATCTTGATTTGCTTGTTGAGAACATTCTCCTCAGCCTGGGACCCTTGTCAGAGTGCTGTCTTATAGACCTTCCTTTTCACAGGTGTGCTAACTGCTTTGACTGCCCCTGCTGCATGCATACCCTTTCCACTCGGGCCACGAGCATTCCTGCTCCACTCCCTGATGACCCAGCCAAGACTACCATGAAGAAAGCATATTACTTGGCCTGTGGATTTTGCCGCTGGACTTCCCGGGATGTTGGCATGGCAGACAAGTCTGTCGGTAAGTGACAATCAAAGACAGAAAACTGCATGACAGCAGGAGGCCGGTATGTGTTTTGGAGGCAACAGATAATCAGATTCGTTTCTGGATATACAATATACATAATATCAGTCTAAGTTTGGAGTCACAGCTCAGAATTCACAGGAAAACAGTTTTGCTGAACTTTCCTTTGAAGAGCTGAGATGAGTTAGTGGAACATGTAACCTACTTCCATGCTTGTACCTGACTAGTGAGAAAGCTGTCAAACAAGGGGTGTTTTTAGTTGGTGCATTCTCCCCACAGTTGAGATCTTGTTTGTGTACCTTCAGAGACTTTGAAGCCACTCAGTCTGACAGCATCAATATCTACTTTATTTTCTGTCACTTATGTTCACTTAGGCTTATTTCAGAGTTGCTAGTGTGTGTTTGTACTTAGTTTTTCTCTTCATGACGGCACTGGAACATAGCATTCATCTGTTCTTTGGTGCATAGGACATGCAGAAAATATCTGTTGGTCTCCAGAAATGGGACTGAGTAGACCAAGCAGTGTTGAAGTCACAGACTGAAGACTGGGAGCTGAAGATGCAGGGACATGGACAGCCAGTAACAAGAGTTCTTGTAAACTCATGTATCTGCTGCTAAAGTGACTCTTGGTGCTGTTCTGAGTATCTCTTAAACAGCAGTTGTTTAAAAACACAGTATAAAAGCTGGTGAAGCACCTTCAGCCCAAACCTGCATGTGAAAAGCTTTCAGAGGTGTGTATTTGTGCAGGCATGAACCCAAAGAATTGCAATGGTAAGTGTAGCAAAAATAGGGAATGTTATATTTCACGAGTAAAACCAAGATAGTCGGGTGTAGATGTGATTTCTTTGTGGAGCCTGGAAATCTTCTCCTGAGGACTGTTTATTTTCTCTTTCTTGTGCAGCTAGTGGTGGCTGGCAGGAGCCGGAGAATCCTCACACGCAGAGGGTGAGTGAAGGGGAAAGCTGAGCTTAGGCTGAGATGAATTAGCTAAGAAAGAGCCCAGGCCCTCTCAATCACTTTTTCTGCATCTGTAGAATCCTTCAGATACCAGTTCCTAATCTCCACCTTGACTGAATTCAGTGGAAGGAAGGCCTCTTAGAGGCTCTCCCGTGGATGTTGCAGTATAAAATCTCTTGTTCAGAAGAAACTCATTTGCAGACATCATATCTAATAGTGCTGTTAAAACAACACCAATGAATATGCTGCGTATGTATGTGAACAAAAGCTGTTTTCCGACCAAGAGCACATCTAGGATCTGGAAAACAGAACTGCACCTTTACTGCCCTTCCCTGTCACTAGTTAAGGCTCTACACTAAATATGATCAGCCTCAGCGGGGAAAAAATGATGTTTTCTCCACTAATCCGAATTGCTTGGTTTTGGCCATGTGACGTAACTCTGTCCAGTCACGGCAAATGTGTGAACAAACTCTTGGTTGCCTAACTGCAAAGTAAGAATTGGACACTGCTCTCCAATAGATGTCATTCCCAAAGGGGGGTCGCTTTGTCGCCCACGGTGTGAGTTAAGACACGCAGACTTCTTTAATATCTATCTTTCAAAATAGAACTGGTTCTAGGAACAGAGTGAAACAAGTAGCAGGAACCCCAGCTTGTTCACAAACAAATACTGCAGCTGGTCTGGCATTTATTCCCCATTCACTGGGTATCTTCCATTTTATCCCTCCAGATTAACAAACTGGTTGAGTACTACCAGCAGTTGGCTCAGAAAGAGAAGATTGAGCGGGACCGAAAGAAGCTGGTGCGACGCCGAAACTACATGCCCCTGGCCTTTTCGGTGAGCTGGGAGTACAGTGTGCTCGGAGCAGAAGTGGTTCACAACAGCCTCAGCTTGAAAGATTAGATAGTTGGTAGCATGATAGGGCTGCTCAGCTTTTTTAATTGAGAACAGCATGAAGAAAATGTGCTAGGACACATGGGTTTCTTTAGGGACAAGTAGTTTTACACCCATTGCTGTGTATTACATTGTCTCGCTCTCTGATACCCTCTCTGATAACGCCAGCAGGGTTTACCCTTGCCGTACAAAGAAGTATGTTATCCAGCATTGAAATGTAGTGCAACTGCACTCAAAATACCAGTGGTAGCTCTTTCTCAGGACAGCTGCATGCCACAGCTTGGGAACAGTTAGATCAGGATTGTCTGGCACTTTTCTGCATGAAGTCTCAACTGAAATTAACCTTAAGACTTGGTTGTGGCCTGAATGACTTGTTTATTTTAACTGGTAGGTAAATGCTTACTTACTTTGTTTAGCTGGGTGACTCTGCGTATGCTTGCTACTTCTCAATTAACTGTGCTTGCTCTGTGCCCTTGCTTGTGTCTTATGGCTGCATTTTTTGTCTCCGTTGCTACCTGCTGCTATTTTGGGGGCTCTCCGCAGCAACACACTATACACGTAGTGGTAAGTCTTTTCACAGTTTCTGCTGGTGTTAAAGCTCTCATGGTACCAACTGAAAGGGAGTAACAGAACCTACTCTTCACCTTGCCTCAGGGCCTGTGACTTGGATGTGCCTAGAACGACCGCACATGAAGGCTAACTAGTTAGAGGGTAACATTTGTTATAAAAAAAATAATTTTTGTTAGTTTACAAGCAGGGCAGTGTCTTTGGGTAAGTAATGTACACTTGAAAAGCAGTCCTTCACAAAGCTTGGCTCAGACACAGCCATCTGTCTGCCTGAGGCAAATGGCACTATCATTAATCTTCTGATCCTTGAAAAGTCACCAGGGTAGGCTGATGCTCAAATTTCTTATTTGGTGAGAATTCAGGTTTTCAGTCTTGCCCAGAAGGAAGATTTCTGCCTCCAAGCACCCTGTGTACAGTTCAGCTGTAGAAAGCTGAGGAGCAGATCAGCTCTGCAATGCCAGTTGGTGGTTCCTGGCAAGAGAGACCCATAGGTAACAAGGTTTGTAGGAGTCTGAACCTTCCAGCTGCTTTGAGTAGTGCTACAGGGTATTTCAGATGGATGCATATCCACGTTGACCCAGTTCTTTTGGCAGTTGAGCTCATTCTGCACTACTTTGACATGCAATTGGTCCAAAGAGAAGATCAAGGGAAAATGTGTCAGTAGTGCAGGCTGGTGATTTAAGGAAAGAGCAAAAGCTCTGTAAGCAGTAGCCACATACATCTGTCTCTCCCCGTCTGCAGTGCAGTGGTAATTGCTTTCTCCTTACTAACAGTTTGAGCAGGGGGAAAAAAAAATCTTGGGAAGCATTGAATACCTTTCCCTTTTTTCTTTCCTTTGCTTGTCTCCCTATGCTTGTCATGCAGCTCAAAGGATGAGTTTGCAGTAGGTCTTCTTGTCCTGGCAGGAAGCAGGCCTGAAGCTGACAGACCTTTTTTCCTTGTAGGATAAATATGGCCTTGGAACCAGGCTTCAACGCCAGAGGCCCGGAGCACCGATCAGTGCCCTCGCTGGACTCTCGTGAGTATCAGGGTTGGGGTTAACCTTTGTGGGAAGGATAAGAGGTGTAGGCAAGAGAGCAATAAAGCAACTTCAGAAAAATTATGAACATATTGCCAGATAGCAGTGAAAGGAGTTTTCTTCTTTGGAGGTTAGAGAGATGTCAAATCCTCGGGCGTCTCTGTGCAGCATTTTCAGATGCTTTGCTTTCTTTTAAGAGAAACGAGTGACTGCTCACATCCCTGTGCAGTTAGTATTGTCTTGCAGTCTCAGCTCTCGCTGCCTGCTGTGTTATAATGCGGTGGCTGCCGTTGCTGTTTGTCAGAGCACGTGTGCCATATTTTATGACTGAGTTGTCCCTCACTTTACTTCAGCCTAAAAGGAGAGGACCAGAAGGAGATCAAGATTGAGCCAGCTGATGCAGTGGAAGAAGTGGAGCCTCTTCCTGAGGATTACTACACAAGACCAATCAATCTGACAGAAGGTAACACCTTCATATTCTGCCGCTTTTTGCCCTTACATTTTATAACATGGGCAGTGCCTGGAAACTTGTCCATGGGATTCCTAATAGCCTGAGATTTTAGTCATTTTTATGCAGGGATTAAAATGTTGGGAAATTCATGAGGTTTTGTATGGTAGCTTTGAATGCACCCTCAGCTTCATGTTGTACGTGGAAAGCTGAGCCAAATATATCAGGCTTCTTAATGGTTGTTTCATTTTCTCGCTGACCTTAATTTCTCTTCATGTGAAGTGTCAACTTTTGGATGGAGAAAAGAGCTGATGTCCTTTTTCAAATAACAGCAGGAAACAAGGACATAGCTGATCTGGTGGGGAGTTGGAACCAAAACTGACCTGTTAAGTAACAATTGCGCATTGCGTTGACATCAGCTTGGAACAGCTTGTGTAAGCTTGCCAGTTATTTAGCTGTCTCATGATTTTATCACAAATATTGTAAATTGGTCCATGAAACTTGGGAGCAAATGGGATAAAACAGCAGGTACAGGAAGCAATCTGGACTTCTTGCTGAGGTGGCTCTACGTTGGACAGATGTTCTCAATAGTCCTGCAGGCCTACAAACTCTGCCCATATTAATTAATTCATGAAAGGTTTATGGAAGGGAGTAGATCATCTTGGTCTCCTTTTCTCCTGAGACTTGTTGTGAGAGTACGATGATGGTAAAGATGATGAATTTTCGTGGTTCCCTGCAATGAGGGAAAGGCTGCCAGGTGGCTCACTGCCTCTTAGGTACTGGGAACAGTGAGGAGCCTGATTTTTGGGGAGAAACCCACGGGAAGTTTGGCTGCTGGGAGCTCCTTGCCTCAGGAACTATGTAGTCACTAATTCTGTGCGTGAGACTGAGTTATGCAAACTCCTTGCTGAGAGGCTGTATACTCTACTCATGCAGCACCCAGCTGTGAGGGTAACAAAGCTGTGAAAACCCATTTTCCCTTGGCAGGAAAGAACTTTTTGGATGATTACAGAATTCTGTTTCCACCCCAGCTGAGCTTTGAATAGAGATCAGGGTCCCCTGTTTCTCCTGGGCTGCCACTGACGTTGCTCTTGTGTTACTGTGCCCAGTCAGGGCAGCCCTTTATACAACTTTTACCTTCCATTTGTTCACTGTTAGAAATGGGGATACTTGCCAGTGGTTTCTGAATTACTGAGTGCAGGTGAAATTAAGTTTCTTGGAGATTGTAGCATGTCTGCGCAGCACACTTGCTCTTAGGCCAGCATATATTTACAATCTAGTTTCAGTGCATGAGTGAGACACTAATTTGGTCTTGCTTTCCATTGTGCATCCAGTGACGACTCTGCGTCAGCGCCTGCTGCAGCCTGACTTCCAGCCGATCTGCGCTTCCCAGCTCTACCCACGTCATAAGCACCTCCTGATCAAGCGTTCACTGCGCTGTCGGGTAGCTAATTAAATACAAAAAAAGAGATATTTTTTTTTTTTCTAGGCTCGTAGAACTTGGGTTGCAGGAAATGGGCTCTGTATTTTTAAAAGAAGCTGTTCAAATGCTTCTGGTTGCTGAAAGTTCTCAACCAAATTACTGGTGACAGCACTGGGAGATGAGGGAGGCTCTCACATCTCTGATGTGATGAAGATTGTGAAAGGGGGACAACATTGCCAAAGATGCATAAAGATAGAAAGGTGGGTTTGTGTAGGGGTCTGTGCTCTGCTTAGCCAAGGAATTGGAAAAGGCTGCCAGTACAGTCAGAATTAAAATTTCTGCTGTTACTAAAGGCAAAAATCAAGTCAACTAACACAATTAGTGAGAAGCAGTGCAGAATACTGAAGACGCCCTTAGAGAAAGGGGATATTTTGGAGAAGAAAAGCAGAGGGCTGAGAAGCAAAGATAGTCAGGAATTAAATCTAGGTTCTGCTGTTGACTTACTACATGGTCTTCAAAAAGCTGCCTGCTTTCTCAGTGAAGCAGGGATATTTGTCTAGTTCCCAGAGTAATGGAGCAATAATCTTACAAGCATTTAAGATGCAGAATGCAGGATATTTCTCAGAAATAAGTAATGTTCTGGAGGATTCTGGAGCATAAATCTAAAGGCTTGTAGGTATTTGTGCCTTCTTCCTGCTGCAGTCAGTGACTGTCAAAGTGTTTTTTAAGCCTGGTTCCAAATCAGTAGCTTGACACAGCTATGGCTACACGCACCCCAAGATGTGTGCTGTGCTAGAGACTGGTAATGTCATGGCTAGTGTCATGGTGCTTGCAGCTCTGATTCTTCAGTATGTGACTAAACACTGTCTTTTGGTGCTGACTAACGTATCTGTGTCTAGAAATGTGAACATAACCTGAGCAAACCAGAATTCAATCCAACATCTATCAAATTCAAGATCCAGCTGGTTGCTGTGTAAGTAAGATAAGGGGACTGGGGAGAGCAATCACCTATCCATGCTTAGTTAATACCTTCTATTTTAATTTCTTTTGTACTCTTCATTTGACCTCTTGTATGATTGTGTCATCTCTTAGGGTGATTTTTTAAAATTTATTCAGCTTATCTGTAGTAGGTTTGCTTCCTGTTCTTCTAAAATGTCCATCATGGTTATTTGCTTTGTTCTTGCTGTAGTAACTATATCCCTGAAGTGAGAATCATGTCTATTCCCAACCTGCGCTACATGAAGGTCAGTACTTTTTTTCTAGAAACGTCTTAGGGTGAGGCACAGCTGGGAGGTCTGGATGTGGGATATTTTTTGGAAGATGACACGGTGTGGTGCTGCCTGAGGGCTTCACTTACTCCATTTAGAGAGAGTTCAAGGTTTAAGGGAGTGGTTGGAATAACACTGCATGTACTTGTCACTCTGCATGAGTAGATTAGTGTGCAGTGTGATGTCCCACATCACAAGCACATGCCAATATCTGAAGAATAAATGGTGTGGAGTTGAGATCTTGGCTAGATTCCAAAGATACGCATTTCTTATATTAACAAAGAGTACTGCATGGCATTGGCACCTTCCTTGCAGACTGGGGGTGTTCACTATCCATCCCTTGAGTGTACCTGATGCAATTTTTGAAGGTGTTGATCAGTCACAGAAGATGGAGATGCTAACAGTAACAATGAATTTTAAGAACAATTGATTCTTGAACTGTGATTCCTGAATCTCCCCAGGAGAGCCAAGTCCTCCTGACTCTGACCAATCCAGTGGAAAACATCACACATGTCACACTGCTGGAGTGCGAGGAGGGAGACCCTGACAACATCAACAGCACTGCCAAGGTATTGTACCCTCCTGCTGTGTGAGCCCTGGCCTCCTCCAAGGCTTTCCACTCCCATTTATCCTGCCACAGGTCACACTTTATGTGTGCTTCAGTCCCTGCTGACTGTGATGCATTTTCCTCATTGGAGCTTAAATGACACTCACCAATGTAAACATCAGCCTATAAAGTATTTTGAAATTTTGTCTGTTCATTGAGATCCAGAACCCAAAGGAGAAATATGTGATTTCACTGGTGGAGGGGTAAGAAGGTGGTACTGGGGTGGAGAGAAGCTGAGGATGAATCACTTTTCTGTTAAGCCGTAGCAAAGCAGAAGGGGAGGGCTTTCTCCTGCTCACAGTGTAGGTGGTGATCAGTGCTGAAAGGCTGCTTCTCCTCGTGCTCTGTTCCAGGTGGCAGTTCCTCCCAAGGAGCTTATTTTGGCTGGCAAAGATGCTGCAGCAGAATATGATGAGCTGGCAGAGCCTCAAGACTTCCAGGATGACCCTGAGTGAGTGTTGTCTGTCTTATAGGGAACCTGTCCCTTAAAAACTTGGCACTTCAACTAAGTAACTCACTCTTCTCTCTGTCTTCAGCATGTTTTGGTTTGTTGATTTGTTGGGTTTTTTTTTTTCAGATTTTCTTTATGGGGATGGTGGTGATTTTTTTGGGGGGTCAGAGATCAGCACTGCAAATCTTTCTGCTTGTAGTTTGGACTGTTCAGGAGACATTTTTCCCTTTGAGGCAAGGTGTGAGTTATAGGTGGTGGTACTAATTCTCTCCAGGAATACTCTGTGTAATCTTTCCCTTCGCAAGCAGTGGGTTCATGGCAGCGGTGAGAACTATGCAGCAGGGTGTGTGACAGAGTTGCCTACAGCCTTCAAAATGGAATATGTCCTGCAGCCAGAGCTGTGCACTGTGGCCCTTCCCTATTGTGCTCTGGGTACATAACACCAGTAGCATGTTTTGTTTGATGGATGAGCCAGCAGCAGTCAGCATAGAGGGGGGTACCCACGTTCTGATTGTGAGGCAGAAGGGGCTGTGGGTGCCCTGCAAAAAGCAGCAGGGAGTAAGTTACAAACCCAGACATCTGTTCTGGCAGGGCATATTCAGCCCATGGGCTGTAAACTGAGCATCCCTCTTGGGTGGTGTCAGAATAAATCTCTTGGAACAATTGTGGGAGAACTTGGCTGACCCAGTGTTCTTTTGTTTTCTGCCTTGCAGCGTTATTGCCTTCAGAAAAGCCAATAAGGTGGGAGTTTTCATCAAGGTCACCCCACAGAAAGAAGAGGGCGAAGTGACCGTGAGTTTCAAGATGAAGCACGAGTTTAAAAACCTTGCTGCTCCAATTCGGCCCAGCGAGGAAGGTGATCATACCTCTGAGGTCATCTGGCTCACCCATCACGTGGAGCTCAGCCTCGGTCCAGTGCTCCCATAAACGCTCCCAACGCTTGTGCCCCAACAGCTGGCCGCAGGACAGACTGTCACAGTGAGGAAAGCACCCGCCAAAACGTTCTGCGAGGGCTCCCGTGTGATGTGTGGGTGTGCGCCACAGGCCCCAGCCAGGCCGTGAGGGAGGTGGCTGAGGGTGCTGTGGTTTGGGATGGTTTGTTCTCTCTCCTCTTGTTGTAGTGCCCACTGACTACCGCTCTGCTTCCCCACACCGCCACAGGCTAGTTTTAACTTGCAGCACGTGTTTCAGCACAGAGAAAGATCTCACTTTTTCCAGATTTGCACGACACCTGGCTGAATTTTATCAACAGAAAAGAACCCTTCTGTGTTTTTTTTTCATGTTAGCCCACAAATCTGATGCGTTACCTACTCATATGAACAACTTCTTTTTCCAACAGAGCGACGCCCTTCCTGAACAACCGTTTCAGGAGGTGGCTGTGTCTGCTGCGTTATTGGCAAGTTACTGGCAGCAGCACGATGCTTTCTTTTGGTTTTCTGCTTCCTTGTAGGATACCTCAGCTGTGGGGGGTTGGAACATACAACCCTACTGCTCTGGCGTATGTAGCTTGCTTAGCTGAGGTGATAGATCCGTTTTCACAAAGGAAATGATCAGTTTGCCTTTAAACTAAACATATAGTGTCCTGTGAGTGTCCATGGATGTAACTGGCAACCCAACCCGCTGTCAGCCCGCCGTGTCACGGGTGGGTGTGGTAGCGTAATGCCCCGTGAGCTGGCAATTCTGTTTCTGCTACAGCTCTTGGCTGAGGCAGGGATGCTCTGGAGAGGCTGCCTGGCAGCCTTCAGTTCTATTAACATGTATTAGTAAGGGTAGAGATCAGCATATGAAACCTGGAGAGTTAAGATTAGGTCTGGTAGTCATAAAACTACAGAGGCTCTTGGAGTTTGTACTCTTATCTTTTTCCAGTTAGGGTGGGAGGGAGGTATAAAGGTGGACAGACAGTTACATGTTAACTAGCATACACTGTACCATAAGGTAATTTATCTGGGGTGTAATTTGGCTGTAGTCCAAGCTAAAATCAGTAATTAAGAGCAGTATCCAGGATACTGAATTGCTAGTAACTGCATAGCTTAGTTCACGTGGGTGAGATCACTCCCCACAGAGTGTTCCCAGTTCAGACTGACCTTTGTTAAATGTTTTGGATGGGCTTGTTTTGCTGGGAAAGGCTTGAATATGCCAGCCAGCCACCTCTCTATTGCTGGAGACACTCATGCCATGGCTTTGCCAGCCCGGAGCTGCAAACCTTCTGCACGGGAGGGCAGGATGGGGCTGCCTGCTCTCCAGGGAGGCAGTGGTGCACCACCCAAAAACGATCTCCCATAGCATGAGAAACCTGTCTTGGTGTGCCTGGGCGAAGGCGTGCCTTACAGCCTACGTCCTGCAGCAGGTCTCAGCACGGCGAGGCATCACGTTTACAACTTCGTGTAGGTTACACGCAGAGTACAGCATGAGTTTAAGATTTGTAGTTCATAGTTAATCTCTAGTGCTAGCGCCTGCTGTGGCTTTACCTGTCCAGATAACAAAGTGCTTAACTTTTGGCTGTGACTTCTCTTCAGTAGCCAAAATAGCTGCTACACTTGTGACACTAAGGTGGAAAAGAGCCTTTTTGGGACGGGACGGTGGCTGAGCAAGGCCTCGAACCACCACCTGGGATCATGCTGGGGCTGATGACCTGCTCCTCAACTCTCCGTTTCTCACTGAAAACAAAAAGGTGCATTGATTTTAGGATATTGTGAGCGGTAAAATTAGCTCGGTGAGGTTTGTTGGTTGGTTGTTTGTTTTTTTTTCCCCTCCCCGTAGGTGCTTGTAGGCGATAGGAAAGGTGTCGGTGTGTCCCGGTCTGTCCCCGCTCTCGGAGCGCGCTCCCCATTGTCTGCCCCTTCCTGACAGGCGACTGTTGCCTTACTGCTTGACGTCGTGTAGTGACCTTCAATAAAGCAAACGTGGCTCTCGGATTCTTTGCGTTGGTTCTTACGCTGCGGTTCGTTAGAAATAATTATTTAAAAATTTTTTTAAAAAAAAAAAAGCGAAGCACTCCCCCTTTTCCCGGTGGTCTCGCCCTCCTTCCCCGTTCCCGGTGGTTTCGCCCATTCCCGCCCTCTCAGCTGAGCTCTATGGTTGGCCGTGCCTAGAGTGCCCCCAGCTCGTCATCGCGGCGCTCTGCTGACGTCACCGCGTCGCTTCGCTCTCCTCCGCCCCGGTGCGCCGCTGACGGAAGTGGCAGCTGAGAAGTCCTTCAACAAACTCATTGTCAATGGTCGCAGGCTCAATGTCAAATGGGGAAGGTGAGTGTGGGGGAGGAAGGAAGCCATGAGGATACTGCCACAAGGTGTTCTGCTCAGTTGGTGCAGTCTGGATCAGCAGGAGTGGGTGTTATGCTGGAGTAGTTACTGGTTTGGTAAATGGGGTCCTTTTACAGTTTGTTTTTCTTTCAGCAGTGGGATCTGGGCTGAAGATTGCACAAATTGTGTAAACTATTTCCTAGTTGAGGGTTATGGATGAGTTTCTGTAGTTTTGTTTCTAATCCATCTCCTGTAGGTGCTTTTTGCATGCTTTGTACCAGCTGTGTCTGATGTCCTGTGAATTTTTCATCTCTGACTTGAAGCAGTGGATCTGGATTAGATAAAGTGAAATTACTGTGTTGTGAATATCTGCTTATCCTACCTTTTCTCATCCTTGTTCTCAAATTTTTCTCTTGATTTTTAGATCCCAGGCAGCAAGAGGAAAGGAGAAGGACAAGGAAGGTACCACAGAATCCGGGATAAAGCTGGAGCCAGTTCCAGGACTTCCTGGAGGTAAGGGAGTTGTTTTCATCTCTGAAACACTTAGTGCTGACCTGCTTCCCTGAGAGAGGCTGGTGTTAAACCTCTGAGAGCAGTAGCAGAGCTCAGGACAGTAGAGGCAC